ATTCAATCTGAGCCCAAATTAGTTCAATCAAAGGTTTAATTAAAGTATTTGAAAAATTCAGAGCATTAATTGGACTACAAATGATGTTCGAATATGGCAAGCTTATGCTGAATCAAGCGGCTCGACAAGACCAATCCAACGAGACTAAGATCATTGAATTTGACATCTCTAGGGCATCTAAATGCTTGATAAACGCTTCATGATCAAGGGGATCACTATGAGACGGTCGATAGAACACTCTTAACATGCCATTGATCTTCTCTATATTTACTAGCCATGTGTAATATCAAAAATCTGCTCCAGGATCGTCCTGGGACGATCAGTGGAATGTTGCTCCAGAATGTGCCCAGATTTGCTCCAGGTGATTTTCTGTACATATCGTCCAGGCCGATTGAGGACATCGTCCGGGCCGATTGGCACTGTAGAAAATGTCGGCCTGAGAATAGTTCTGGGAACCGTCCAGGACGATCCAAATTGGTCTGATCGTCCTGGGACGATCTGGCGATCGGCCGGGCCGATCTGAAGATTATAAAGCTGATTTCACACAATACAAATATATATTTATGGGCTATGCAAGCTTCGACGTCAAAAAAGTGAGGCAATTGATATGCCACCTAAAAATTCGTCTTGATTGGGCACGAATATTGATGCGAATATGAGACAAATTAAATTTAGGACCATCTAATCTTCAATTTCAACAAGCTTATATTAAATTGACCATCTCATGGAAACAATCCAACGATAAATTTGATTCAATCTGAGCCCAAATAAGTCCAATCAAAGGTTCAAAGTCCTTTCCGCCAACTAACGCCGAATCTCTTCCTGACCACCGGCCCTCCCCAGACATCAGCCTATTCGTTGACAATCATCGGATCTCTTCACGACCACCAATCTCGTCGGACTTTTGCCCATTCGTGGGCCATTGCTTGATCTCTTCTAGATCAATGATCATCATTGGTCTTCTGTCTGTCTGTTGAATACCTCAAGATATCTTCTTGATTACCGATCGTTGTCATACTTTAGCATGTTCGTCGACCATCGATGAATCTCTTCCCAACCACCCATCATTGTTGGACTTCCGCATGTTTGTCGGCTGCCACCAGATCTCTTCCCGACCACCGATCGTCATCAGACTTTTGCTCATTTGTTGACCATCGTCGGAACTCTTCTCAACCACCGACCATTGCCGGACTTCCACCTGCTATTGACCACCTCTGTACTTTTCCCGACCATTGATCATCATCGGACTTCCGCCCGTTCGTGGGACGCCACTTGATCTCTTCACAATCATCAATTATCGTCGAATTTCTTCATATTCGTTGAATATCACTAGATTTTCGACTGTCTCCTAACCTATGTTGAACATTCTCCTAACTGTTGATACCAGATTTCTATTATCTGTCAATTCCATCCGAAGTTTGACAAGATCTTCAACATATTGTATTCACATTATCGCCGAGTTGAAAAATTGATCAATGTTTGTAACCTATTCAAATAATGGTGAAAACTTTTCAACTGGTTGAGGCCCCGTGATTTTTCCCTTTTTCATGATTTTCCACGTAAAAATTTTGATGTTTATTTATCGTTTCAATTACCTGTTTGTGTGTGCTGAATTTTTATGCATCACTAAAATCCTTCCTAAGATGTAAAATCCTTCCTAAGATGTAAAATCCTTCTGCTCTTCGCCATGAATTTCTCAGCCCATAACAGCTTAGTTCTTTTTTTCTAAGCCAATGATCATGAGAAGCCCGTCGCCAAGAACATTGACTTAAGAGGTGAATTGCAGAGTGTCTCCAAGAAAAAGAGAATATATTAACAGCTTTTAAGAACAAAAATATTCTTTTGAAGAAGGTCTCAGATGACGCGAAGAGTACGAAGAGGTCTTGCAAAGAGTTTGCCAACAAGTATAACTCCGACTTGGAGGCTTGAAGAGGAATTTCGAAGAAGAAATGAGCTTTTATTTTATGCCAGAGCTTTTATCTTTGCATGTATGTCATATCTAGACTCGCCACTTAGAGCATCTCTAACCGAACACCAAACGAGCGTATGGCGTCGTTCGGTCGCTCCAGCCGAACGCTAAATTTTCCTCAATTTACTTGCGGGTGAACAGTGCGACGCCAATATTGGCGTCGCACTGTTCACTTACGCTATTTTGCTCTCTCAACCGGAAAAATGCGCGAAAGGGAGAAGGATCGTTCCCTTAGCCGAAGCACATAAAATGACATTCGATTGGAGTAGCACCACCGCATTTTGAAGTTTTGCTTTTTTTTTTTACCGTGAAAAATGGAGTTCTCCGTTGGAGATGCCCTTAAAAAGTACTTCACCACTCTCAATACAAATTTTATCACAATGGGATTAAGTTCAAATTCTATGACTATAACTTTTTATTCTTATGATACATAGGATTTTAGTGTAAGATGTTGATGGGTTTGAACCCAAAGATAATAAATCGCCTACAAAATTTTTAATTTATCGGTGGTTGAACATTTTTTAATTTACTTAGAGAAGTTAGAGGAAATTAGAGGTCTATGGTATTATGTAAGGAAACCCCTTTCTCTTATTATGATGATGCAAATGTTGAAAATACTTCAATAAATAAAATAAAATAATTATTTTTTGTTGGTTACCCCTTTTAGTAAATAGCAATATTAAAAAAAAAAAAATTTCATTTTAGACACTTAGGCTTCGTTTGGGACATCTTTCGTTTTGCTTCCTAAAATAATTTTTTAGCATAAAATCTTTCAATTCAGGAAATTTTTGTACTACAAAACTGTTTTATAAAGCAATAAAAAAGCTATCTCAAACAAAGTCTTAGTCCAAAAGTCAAGATTTTGCCAAAACCATGTGGGATTATAAACACACTTTGAGAAAGCAAAGTTTGGTGTTTACTATCCGGAGTTCATATGCTCCCGAAATTAATTTTTGAAGTTTCCAACTAGGTTTTTGCCTCGAGATTCGTGCCCGATCAAGATGGTTTTGCGATGCTGTATCACTATCATTGAATTAGTTTCTTATGATTACTATTTGGTTGTCACTAATAAACTTATGGTTGATAGTATGTTTACGGAAATTGATGATAATCTTGATATTCTTCAAATTTTATATGCATCTTATGAATTTAAATGAGATATAACCAAATACTAACGAGTCAAAATAAATCAATTTTAGCTCATATAAAAATGTGGAGCCTAGATACATAAGTGCTATAGTGAGTACGCAAGATGTCATAATTTTAATTTAACTTCTTTCAGAGTTAAGGATTGCTTCATAGGTTTGAATTAAGTTTTGTTTGGGATAGCTTTTTTAATATTTTTGTTGCGGGCTAGAATATAGGTAGTGTTAGAGTTAGAAAATTTCACGTCTTAGTTTTGTACGGATATCCATCACATAAACAAAATAAAAAAGGAACACCAAAATTTTTATATGGAAATCTTGAAAAAGGTAAAAACTATGGGGTCATGCTCAGTCGAAAGGATTCAACTAGTGTTTACTTAGATTACAAGTGGCTGACTTGTCCTTGAAATTGAGGACGATCAAATTACAATAATCAACTCTCGGATTGAAATTCAGTTACAAACGAAGATCAGAAATCCGGTGACGTTCTGGTGGTTGAGCAGAAATCCGACTTTAATTGACGGTTGAGCAGAATTCCAGCGATAGTTGGTTGTTAGGTAGAACTCCGGCGCCAGTCGACAGTTGGGCTGAATTCCTGCGTTAGTTAGAAGTCGGGTGGATGTCCGAAGTTGGTCGAGGAGGAGTCTCTTTCTTATCTTCCTTTTCTTCCTCCTCTTCTTCCTTCTATTCTTTTCTTGCTTCCTTGCTTAATTCCGGCGTCGGTTGGTTGTCGGGTGAAAGTCGGGTGGTGATCGAGGAGGAGTTTATTTTTTATCTTCCTTTTTTTTCCTTCTTGCTTGGGGTCCCCGCTTAAGAGAAATGAGGGGTCTATTAATAGTTTTCTGAGAGTGACATAACCAATAAATAGGAGGAAGATCAGGGGTAAACTGGGATTGATTTAAATGGACGGCAGATGTTGAATCCCTTGATCGCGAACCATTTATTGGGCATTTGAAGCTCTAATGGTATCAAAATTTGGAGATCTTGGGCTCGTTGGATTCGTCTCGTCGAGCCTCTCGATTCGACTATAAGCACGTCATATTTTGAAACTGTTTGATTATCCAGATTATAGATTGAACCTTCCAAATGTGATTCTGGTATTTGATTTGGACACATTTGAGCTCGGATTGAGTTGAATTTGGTGTCGTTGGGTTCATATTTCCAAGACGTTCAGTTGCTAATATTGGAGTTCATATGGTCCCAGATTTAATTTTTGAAACTTCCAACTTGATTTTTGCCTCAAGATTCGTGCACGATCAAGTTAATTTTTTGATGATATATCAAATTTTAAAACTAATTTTTTAATTATAGAAAATTGTAATTTAAACAAAAAAGTGCATCTTATTATTATAAAAGTATATTTAAAATATAAAAAAAATTATAATAAGTATATTTTAAGCTACTTGATTTAAATTTGAATATTATAATTCTCCTCTAATATAATTTGTAGGCTTTAATTACATAAATCTCATATAAACTTGAATTTGGAGTTAAAAAAAACTATTAATATGAACATAAAAAGAGAAAAATAGTCTCATCGCTCATGGAGAGAGAGATAAAAGGAAAGACGAAGAGCTAAGAATTAGTGGAAAAGGTTGTCATCTATAACAATAAAATGAGAAAGAAAGAGAGTAGAGAGAATATATATATAGAAGAGAGATGGAAAAAGAGGGTAAGAACATAAAAGAAAATTTTTATTTTCCCCATATGCAAACAATCGGATGAGAAAATCGACCCGTTACCGTCACATCTTCATCTAGCCAGCGACCCAGTACCGATTCCCGAACCTGAAGCGCGACCAAATCGAAGGGGGGAGCCTGAAATCAAAAGCTGGACCAAACCCTCTGCATTATGGTAATTTCGCGGTATTCGGTAGCCCACAGCACCCGCAGCCTGATGCTCTAAATACGTGGTCGAGGTGCGGGGAGGTCTTTCACACATAGAAGGGAAGAAGATAGCGGTCCTCGAAGAGGAAAGAAAGAGGATCGGCGGAAGAGAAAGGATTAGCGTGCTAGAAAAGGAAATGCGTGGAAGGAAATACTGCAAGGAACGAATCTCGCTACCTCAGTAATCTCCTAAAGATCACCGGAAACGACCGTAGAAGAAGAAGATTAGGGTGGTAAAGAAAGAGTCAGCAGCGAAAAGGGGAAGAGGAGTAACAGGAAGCGGATCATCGCATTAGAGGAGCAAACAAGAAATGGAAAGAGAATCCCGCGGACGGGTCTCTTTTCTGTTAGTCTGCTAACCCTCGGTTGGATCCAGGTATTGAAACCCTAGCTTTGATTTCTGTTTGTTTTTTGGCTGGTTTGTCATCAGAAGAGATGGATGCGCTTGGCTTGCTTATTTTTCGGCTGATGGAAAAGTTTAGTGTTCTGCCATTCCGATCACAGGGGATCCACTGGTTTTACTGCGGAGATTGGTCTCCTTTCGCGATCTGGGGTTGGTTTTGTAAATGAAAAAAATGAAGATGGAAACACAGGTGTTAGGGTTTGTTTTTCTTTCTCGGAGAGGGAGGCCTTGGTCCATGGTCTTTAGATCTATTCCTTGTGTTAGCGGCTGTAAGTTTGGCTAAGAAAGTTCAAGGTTCCGGCGACAGAGACTCATCTGTTTTATCTTGGGCGAAGCTGTATTTGGATTTGATATTGCTTATGCCAGGGATTTAGGGTTAGGTGCAGGATCTGGTCAGGAATGATGAACGAAGAACCTGTATTGGTGTACTTCTTTTGATTTCTCTGCCGCAGATTGGCGCCATCCGCCTCCCTTTATGCAGTTGAGCATGATGCACTCCTTACTTGTCATGGGACTTCCTGCTTGTTTTTTAGATAATAGCTTTTGATGATTGATGGCTTCTCCGAGAGATAACTGTCTGGGTCTTTTTTCCGTTGCTTCTACAAGGGATCTTTTGTTGATGTCATGATATGCTTCTAGCTCTTGACGATATCTTCCCTTCAATTTGAATATAGATTCATCTGGTTTCGGGCAAGTCTGTTGTCCGGATAAATCATAAACTATCTATATCAAAATGTTTTTGAGGTTTTATGATTAAACCGGCTTATGGAATTTTGATGATTGCTGCAACTTGGAATCTCGCTTCTCCTTTTAGTCCAACAGTACGTTTTTTGGCCATTGTATTTATTTCATTTTTGATCCATTTGAGAGGAAGTTGGCTTCAGGAGATTTGGTCCAACCTCCATCCCTAGCTGCTCTTATGATTCTGTAGGGCGCCTCATTTTTTGGGATAATTTGCAAACTCAGAATGGCGCTGGGCGTGATTGATTTGTGGATTGTTGATTATTGTTTGTTGAGTATGATAATGGATTAGAGAACCCATGCCTCATACCCCTGGAATGAACTTCCCTCTATTGATGGCTGATCAAAGTGTTCTATTTTTTTGTATTGTGTTACTTGAAGGTTTTGCAGGCCCTAAAACTAGGTTGACATGAAAATCTTGGCTGTCAATGTTCATGCCATCTAATTATTGAATTTGAATTAAGAGATGCGCTTGATTATCAGTAGGGGTAGTTTAGCATGACGCATCTTAAGGGTACCCTTGATGGCAAGGGCGGAGTCAGGAAATATTTTTAGTGGGGGTGCAAATTGATATCAACTATTAAGTTACTTTTTCCTAATCTCTCTTTCTTAGAACAATCACAAATCATAAGATAAAACTTTCATAAAATGTTAAGAGAAAAATCTACATGTAAAATTAGAGCTATTCCAATACATGATGGTAGTTGTGTGGTAAATGATGGCTCGATGATGGGTGTGGGCGTGAATGCGAATGCAACACCTCGTGTGAGGCATATGTGTGCAGTATGCATGGCCGGTTGGGAGTTTGTATAAGAAGTCCAAACCTTAAATCTTAATAATCGGTTTTGGGTCGGGCTAATGGGGGCACATCCCTAGTGGTACTTTTGTGGATCTGACCATGCTTGATGGATCATGTCAGCATTTGTTGTCAGCGCTTTGAACTGTTTGTTTATCAGTTGATTTTGCTAGAATATGGTATATTTTTGGGGCTCTTTGAACTCACACATTGAATTCTCTTGTTCAGCGGCTAATCTATATTGTGTATATTTGGTATGCAGAAGGAACATAATCATTCGAGATTTTGGCGATGTATTTGTTACAACCCTTTATTGTTCTGTTAGAAACATGATACGATATTTCAGTCAATGGTCAGTTGAACAATTATTCCTGTGTTTATGGCATAATGCCTCAGTCAGCAGAGTCGATAAAATCATTATCTTTTGCTTTTCTATTACAGATTCAATTTTGTACCTGCAACAAGAGGATTGCCTCCCCTCTTGAGATTCCAGAGGGCCAAGAAAATCCAAAATCTTGCAAGAGCTGTGGTGGAATTATATCAGTTGGTAAACTTGGTGGCTTATCAAGAAGGACCTGGAGCACTATGGGACCAGAGTTTTCTGGAGTGATTGATCCTCAGTTGAAATGGAAGACTTCTTCAAATGGTAAGCACAGGGCCTTAAGGAGAGCACGAACTTTTACTCAGGATAATGGAAGGAAATTCACTGCCAAGAATAAGGAAGATATTAAAGATTTTTTTGATGAAGCTTCGAAGAAAAAAGAGGACATGCTGGTCTTGGAGTCTGAGAAGGTTTATATGCATTGCTGTACTTTACAAATGACATTTGATTTTTTTACATGATTAACAATGTTTTTCTTCTGGCAGTTAGGTGTTAGTGTTCTTGGTCAGCGCTTCAGTGATAACTTAGAAAGTGTTCCAATAAAGAAAAGGAGATTTTCGTTACTTCCTCAGTCAACATCACATATACTATCATCATCTGGCTTTCATGATCATAGTCATGGAAGACGCCTTGCTTTATTCCAAAATAACCAAGTGTCTCTTAAACAAGATGAGTTTGGCGTATATTCTTCCAAAAGTTCTGCTGATAAGAAAACGAGCTTGGAGGACATTGATGAGCATTTAGATGATTCTGCAGATTTTTCTGGTATTTCTATCTTGGCAGCAGCTGCTTGTTATAGTAGCATAGAGAATGGATTAATGGATGGAAAGGGCCCAACAGTTAAAGGGCATTCATTTGAGGAAAACCCCTCATCATTAAGGTTTTCAGAATCACTTGAAGGTAAGGGCCACCCATCCCAACCTGAACTTGGAAGCATACCAAAACCGTCAGTGGTAACTTCTGTTGCAGGGGAAGCATTTGATAGGGAAACAGGTCAAGTAAAGTTTGATGGATGTAAGGAAGAGCATTCTCTTGGTTCCTTGCAGAAATTTTCAAGGAAAAGGAATTCAGTGCCCTCTCTTGATGATAGGCTACATTGGGATCTCAATACGGTAATGGATGTATGGGAAAGCAATGATAGTCATGACATCGAACATAGATGTCAAGGACTTGGTGAGGATGAAGCTGGTTTTGGAATTGACAAAGTTGGATTGAAAGCTGCTGATAATCAAAATATTTCATATTGTTTCGAGAAGATGGATGGAAAACATGCTAATGCTGTGGCAGATTGTGACGAAGAAAAAGTTGGCTCACCCGAAACTCAAGGCTGTGAACCTTTGCCAGAACAGTGCCATTTTAAGGGTGCTAAAGTCACGGTGGAAAATGCTCCTGAGAAAACAAATCCTGCGGGTGGTGGCGAGAAGAGTTGCGTTTTTACTAGAAATACTTATCCCATTGAAGGTATTGCACAATCAGATAAGGTCCTCTCCACAAAGGTGGTTGATGTGTCTGACAAAGATAAGTATGAAACTGATAATGTAAACTTTAGTGTGGAAGTGGACACTCATAATAGTCTCCCTTCTCTGATTAGTGCTGGGAATACTACTCTTGGCCTAACGATGAATGCCTCTGATCCATTTTCTGAGGACAAAAATGTCAATGAATTGTTCCATGGTGATAGCTTATCCATTGCTACCTTAGATAGTTGTAATGATCATTCTGGGGAATGTCACCCAGCTTATCTTGGGAAAAGTAATCAGCTGAGGAGCCCTCCTGCTGAGAAGCATCAGTCTGTATTAGCTGATGTAGTCAGTATTACTTCACAAAAATCACCTGCTGGACAACTTGATCAGAGCACTTCTGGAATTATAATTCATGGAGATGAAAAGATTTCTCAGGTATCACTTGATGGAAGCAGTTCCAAGAGCATGACGACTTATGGCGTCCTGGCAGATGAGACTGCATATATTGATGAATTTGGAAAAGCCTATGCTAATTCAAATCAATCAATTGTACATTTCAACTTCAGAGGGATATCTGATAACGAGCTCCTTCTGCCAAGAAATACATGCAGCAATCAATATAAAGAAAGTTCTACTGATTTGAAGGTTGATGAATGTAAATCTAGTATTTTGAGTGGTGAATGTTTGAATGCTAGCACAGCTGTTCCAATTCAGACTTCTCCGAAGTTTCCCAATTCTATTTCAGAAGTTTCAATGCTGGAAAGAAATGACATTCCGTTAGCTGATGATATAGTGATTTCTCATGAGGAATACAGAACACCTGTAGATGGTCATGTGAGGAGCTCAGTTAAGGATTCATTAGAGGAGCATTTTGATTCAGGCCATTTTTCAGATCCTTGTCCAGTTGACACTGATCATGCTATTGGATTGGAGAAGTTTGAGTTCCTTGGAGAAGATGATTCTCAGTATGAAGATGGAGAATTGAGAGAATCTGTTCTGAATAGCTGGGGAGAAGATGGAGTTGAGGAATTGGAAACTGAGCATGTGGACTATGGGTCTGACTGCAGAGAAGCAGATTTTTTTGAAGCTGATTCTGATTTTTGTTCTCAATCTGATTTGGTTGTTGTAACTACAGAATGTAAACATGAAGGGAAGCTGGTTTCTACTTTTAGTGATGGAGATAAATTAAGGGTTACAGAGGATGAGTTACAGCCCAAATGTTTCCAAAAACACTCTTTGGTAAAAGATGCTTCAAATGTCAGTTATGGCGAGGGAGATGCGAGGGAAAATCTGGATGTAACTGATGCGAGTGAATTGCCTGCAACAGGTGAAAACAGATTGCTTAAATCGAATATACCCACTGACAGAAGTGATGATCCTGGGAAATCAAGTCAACCAGAGAGTTCTAGAATGAAGTCTTCAGGATGGGACAAATTGCCTAGAAGAGAAGTTGCTGCTGTCGATTCTCCTTGGAATCACGACAGTGCTTCTGTCACAGCATCTGTTAATGGTGAATACGCAAGAAAAAAGGCTGTTTCATCGCTCAAAAGGGATTCATATTCAAGATTAGAAAGATCAAAGTCTTCCGAAGCATCATGTAGAAAGGAAGTGTCTTATACTATGGAAAACAAGTAATTTAATTTCCTTTTCAAGGCTTCAGCATACAAATTATCTTTTGTCTTGTTGTTCAGTTATCATTTCATGTACTTAATATGTTTTTTATGTCCAGGAAACTTGACCACTTTGATTTAAATGCTGAAAGGAGTACTAATGGAAGCCGATCAATCGGAAGGAACAAGCTACCTTTCCGTTCACATGATAGAGGCAGGGTTGAATATTGGGTGGGCTCTCCAGATCATCATGGCAGTTGTCGTTTTGATACATCTGGCTATTATTCATCACCCAATTTTGCACCCAGCGGTGCAAGAAATGCAGCTGCAGCTGCTGTTGCAAAGGTGGAAAGCAATGGCTTCGTTGTTGCACCTGATGGCACAATTGTTAGAGCTGGTAGTATGGGCTCTGGACCCAATTTATCAAGTCGTTCAATAAATTCTTCCTCTCATTTGCAATCTACTAGAAGGGGATCCACTATGGAGAGTGATGGAGCATTTGACATGTCTTCTGAGCCAAGCAATTCTACTAGAGAAGTTAGCCCTGACAGATTCTTTAATGTTGGTAGGGGAAGGCCTAGTAGACATGGCTCTAGGCTTATCAGCCTTGGCCATAGAAATATGTATCAAGGTCCTATACCATTGCAGCCGCCTTCATCTAGGAGGCAGCAGAGTTTTTCTCCCCACAGAAGAAGACCCATACATTTCTCACGTGAGCATACAAGATCGCCATCAAGGTCTAAAACCCGGTCCCCCCATACTTGGACATCTCCAAGAGGAAGAGACAATGGCCGCATAAGTGGTGTTCATGATACAAGGAGACAAAGTAGGTCTCCTCAAAGAAGGATGCCGAGACAGAGGTCGCTGCCGCGCCAAGGCATTCTTGCCGAAGAGTTGGCTTCGTATTCCCCTTCGTCGAGAGGTCATTCAAGATGGTTTGACAGTGAGAGGATCTTACAAGGGCAACCTAGATGTCCAACAGGGAGAAGCTCGCCTGCTAGAATTTTTTCACAGAGCGATAGATTTGATCACATTGATTCCCGTGGAAGGGCGAAGCCAGATGAATACTATCAACCAGTTTATTCTGAAAGGTTTCATGAATATGATGGCTATGGCAGAGATGATGGCAGTAAGGGGAGAAGTAATAGATATGAATTGCTCCATTCTGAAGGACATGGCAATATGAAATGCTTTGGTTATGGTGAAAATGGCATAAGGGCTCACAGCCTTCATCGAAAGGCCTCAGGGTTTCAGCGGAGGGAGAGTACAGTTATATTTGATAGGAGCATTGATGCTCAACGGAAAGATCCACATCGAAGAATCAAAGGAGAGATGGTCCATTTCAGACGTGGTAGAGATGTAAAGTTGAACACTGAGTTCAACTCATTTGAGGTTGAAGATAGCAGCAATGATATGGCCTTGCAGAGAAGACCTTCCTGACTGGTTGTTTCTATCAATTTCCTTTTTCAATTGGACGGAGATGCTGTACCCAGTTATTATTTTTGTGATGGGAAGAAAGCGTCTTAATCTTGCGGTTTATCCCATTTTAAGCCACTTGTAAAAAGTCTACATCGTGATTAGGATTTTAAATTTTCCTTTTTTTTTTTCTTACCTCGCCTTTTTGTCTTGTTTTTTTCTTTCCAAGGCAGTAGTAAGATAGAGTCTTTATGAGGCCCATCAAGAAGTGATTAATTAATGAAATTGATGATTTGGTCTCTCTGGACTTTGGTTGTGGAGTCTGATGATGTGCAGAATGAAGAAATGCCAATCAAATGTGTAGGAAACTATGATCGAATCGATCGAAGCATCCAGGAACGTTCATAACACTATAGGTTGCCTTTGGAGTCTCAATTATCATGGTAGAAGCTTGTAGAAATTAATATCCACAAATTTATTTTTTTTATTTACCTTCAATAGATGCCATTCTAATCTTTCTTATAACATAGTCGTTCCTTAATTTATCATTTATAGTGTTGCCATGCATCCAGCTTAATTTTCTCAATTTTGCCTCGCTTAATTTAGATATTAGGGACTTTTTTTACTCAACATGGGTATGCATACAATATTACCGATCTAATTGTAGTTTTATAAAAAATTATCTTTAAGCCTTCATGATATTATCTTAGCATACAAAGCTTCCAAGAAATTTTTCTGTTTTGATCTTATTATCTCAATTCTAGAAGTTGTATTTTTATTTAGAACATCATTTTTTTGGATAATACATGCCTAGATATTACTTCATCTTTGCATTTTCCACTAAAATTATAAATCATAGGTTCAGTTTTTGTTCTGTTAACTCTAATCTTTTATAATTTAAGTAGATATCCCAACAATTAAAATTATATCATCTATAAAAAATATAATCATAGCATCTTGCTTTCAATAAGTCCTGTAAGAATCTCCATAACCTATAAGAAAAATATAGACTCAGGTTTCGTATGGGACAGCTTTTTAGAAATTTTTGTATTAGAAAATTATTTTAGAAAGCAACAAATAAGTTGTACCAAACAAAATATCAATTGATCTTTGCGATAATCGGCAACTTGTGGGTCACTAGAATTTTTTTCTTACCTCGATTTAAACCTAAGGTAACATGCACTCAATGTCTTGAGGCTCTTTTGGCTCAAGTAAAACTCATTCAACTACTGGTCAAGGCATATTTAGCTGTGGTACTATACCTTCATTTCATTTTCATTTCTTCTGTTATACCGTTCTTTTCAGCAATAAAGCCTTTTCTTAGAATGCTGCGAATGAAAAAGTTCATCACATCTTTCCAAATAAACCTCATTTTGTATGCCATTTCTGGTTGTCGTCTTCCTATGCCAATTGAGCCTATTTTGTGTTTTATGCCTGTAAAGTTGTTTAGATGCTGATGCTCAGAATTCTTAGGGTGTTCCTGCTTTTGAAATTATTTGTCTTCAACAGATTTTTATGTTTAGTTATTGGTTTGTGATGGCATCTAATGTTTAAAATGTGGCTTGTTGTGGGCAGGTGACGTACAAGTTGACAGAAGGGAAGGAGCATATAGGCTGCAAAGTTTCTTTGTTAACTTCTTCATTGCTGGAATCTTGGTAAGTTCACTTGGGAATGTGTTAGATTGGTCCTCGGACAGGTCCAGCCGGTCGATACAAGACTGAGTCATGTAATGGAGGCGGAAATAGAAGAGCCGGACGCTCCATATTCAGTTGGCAGTACGAATTGGGAAAGATTTTGGATGTATTTAGGAGAGAAATTTTGAAGTAGGAGCTGTTTAGAGAATTTTTGTGGAGAATTCTCACTGTTTTTTAAATATTGATAGGAATTACTTGAGATCTATCAGTATTTTTTATCAAATTGGTATGAGAGAAATTTTCTGGGTTGAAATAGAAGTTTTCCTCGCTGAATTTTGATGTGTTTCGTATCTGATCTTGTTGTTTTTGATGATTGAAAGCCATAATTCGGGTCAAACTTGTTGCTCTTTGTGCCATAATTCGGGTCAAACTTGTTGCTCTTTGTTATTAGAGCCTAAATCTAGGTTCCATGGCAGGAAGAAATGTAGAAAGTGTTGGAATTGGAGATTGGTTAATTGAAAGCTGAAATTTTTTTCTCCATAGTTAACTTTGAGATGTCAAAAGTCAAATTTCAGCCATCCAGGAGAAGATGGATGAGATTTTTCCAGTGTAATAGTTTGTATGTTGATTCTGTCACATTTTTTTTTTCTCGTGTCAATATAAGTCCAAATCACAAACCGCATTCTCCATAGCATTGTTAGTGTAGTATTTTAATTGCACGATTTTTTTTTTTGTATTTTCTTGTCTAGTTGTAAGAAATCTTTACCCTATTTTTTATTTCAAATATTTTGTGTTTTTGATATTTTTTCGATCAAATTTTTATTTTCGTTACTGAAAAATGAAAATAATTTTGCATTGGTAAAACTTTTATCCCATAAATTTTTATAAGTTATAAATATTGAGATTATAAACTTTTTGAGTATTTATTTGAGATTTTTCGTCGTATGATTTTAAAAATGCAATAATTTTTATCTGCTAATAAATTTATTTTGATATTTATAAATAATGATTTTGTTCAACTAAAGATTCAAAATATTATTTTATGAATTATTTTATGCAATATTTTATTATGTTTTTAAATTCTGAATTTATAAATTTTTGCTCAATATAATTTTTGTCATATATCACTAGGACATTTTGATACTTTCTGAATTAAGCTCAATTATATTTTATTTTCTGCAATGCATTGAAAATGAATATGAATATATAATTGAGTAATAGCTAGTTGATATTATTATTATAGTACTGTGATAATAATGTGTGTGTAAAAGACAAGTAAAGACTGATTGACTAATTGGTTTGAGACTTATTAAACTGTACATGATGGTGGGCCGATAATTTTTTTTTAAATATTATAATTTGATATTATCCTTTACTGATTTATGTGATACTAATTGGGAGATTTAAAGAGATGGTTAATGTGCTGACATATAAAAGGTGATGACTATGTTTACTGAGATAATAATTTATTAACACTTATACATTACTTAAAAATACGTGATAGTTAGAATTCTTACCAAGATTAATGTGACTACTGAAATAAATGTTATTGGATATTATTCATATTATTATATGAATTTATTATTAGCACTATTACTAATTTATTCATATAAAAAATATGATATATTTGTTGAGCATGTGATATGTAAGATACAATGAGCATATGATTAAGATTTTGATTTAATACTGATATAGAATAATTGATTTGCATGTATACATTTATATATAATTTTTCTATATTGATTTAATTTCAACATTCTTTACTGATATTTTGATTATATGCTTTTATCCAATTTTTGTATTGATTGGTGTCGCTGATATGATGATTACTTTATAGATTTCAAGCTCGTACTCATTTACTATTTTAATGGCTTCCATATTAGAGTGTTTTACTATTTACAATTCTTTCATTATTGCATGTGCATTTTACTATTTATGAATTAATTCAATAATCATATGAATGTAATTGCTATGATTTGACTATTTATATATATTTATTGCTCATTTATTGTGTTTTTAATTCAATTATTTATTTTGGTGACCTGTTAGGCTTTTTAGCTCATTATATGTGGTTAAATGATTTCAGTTCATGATAGAGGATCACGAGTGTGAGACTTGTTAGGATTCTTCAAGTTATGTTTTTTTTTTAGTTATTCCTTTGTACTCATGACATAATAGTTATGATATGATTATATAGATCATGGGTAGTGTATATTATTTCTGAGAATTGAATACAAATATATGTATTGATATTTTGACCGATGATTTTATTTTTATTGCTATTGATATTAATAAAAGAAATAAGACAGCTCTGATTATTGTTTATTAAAAGATAAAAAAATAATTTTTCTGAATTAGATTCTTAGGCATCACTTCCAGCTTGGGAGAGATGCTGAAGAAGTTTCTCGATGACCAATCCAAAATGATGTCGTTAGAGGCGAGGGCAGCCTCTACCAACCCAGGAAGTGAAAAAAACTCTAATCCAATAAGGTAAAGGGAAGTTCAAGAGGTGGAGACTATAAAGGAAAAAAGTGAGAATACCTCTCACAAAGCTTGTTCTCAGGGAGGAGCTGGGTAGAGGGTATGGGGAGAAGCATGCATAAGGAGTTGAAGCATGAACAAAGGGTGCTGAATTTAAGCAGAGAGGGGCAGAATTTGAAAGGGTAAAGGGTAATTATATAATATTGCATTCTTAAATAAAGTTAGCTGTGTACCGCAGTGTTCTTGTTTTATTTCATATGATATAAATAATTTTTATAGATTTATTACATAACATTTTCCTTTTCCGATAAATATTATTCATATTTAATTTTTCCAATTATTCATTTTCCCTATTTTCATTTAATACAAGAACATCGTTTAAAATTTTGTACCAATGAAGGTACAATCATTTTCATTTCATTTTTTATTTAACGTGTACGAATACAATATCTCCCCAACCAATATCATAATTATATAATATTTGCTTTGACTGTAGAAAGATTAGAATATAGAATATACTCAATTTCTTGACTAATTATTAGGTGCGGAGTGCAGGCGGGGAGAGCACCGTCTGCACAGACACAGAGTACCGAGCGGTACCTAGTGGTACCGAGCGGTACCGAACGGTACCGAGCTGGATTTTATACTAGTGCAGACGGTGTGCACTCCGCACCTAATAATCTCTCAATTCCGACACAGTCCCACATGCATGCACTCATACATGCATGCATGGTTGGTGAAGCATTAATGTAAACTCTATGAATGGATTGAGAGTGAAAATTTTGCTCGCAAAAGGTTCCAGGAGTGAATTTTAAAGCAATAAATGGAGATTATAAGTTTGAATGAAACAATAAAATCTGGAGATAGAAAAGAAAAAGGAACAACCGACGTGCTGAATGTAGGCAATGTGCTATTTAACTTTTAATCCAGCAGGAAGTTGGTTGTAGCGTTGGGAAGGGATCAATGACGTTGATAAATATTTTACTGATCTATGCCTGCTTTTTTTTGGAGGGAAATACAGTTCTAATTTATCAAAAAATTATTAGGTGCGGAGTGTGCACCGTCCACGTAAATATGAGTAACTAGCGGTACCCAGCGGTACCGAGTGCCGGTACCTAGCGCGGAATAAGGCTTGTGCGGACGGTTCTTCCCGTCCACACTTCGCACCTAATAATCTCTCTAATTTACCAACATTAAAGACTTGAGCCTAGTTGTCTCTTAACGTCGATAAAGACTGCATTTTTTTTTTAATTTATGCACAACAAAAAGTAATGCATTGAATTCTTTTCATGATG